GGGGAACTGAGAAGCTTCTGGTGATGAGTGAGGGTTCAGGCCCTCACTAAGTCATGCGGAGTTTGTCCAAATACTCACTAGGGGCAGTCTAGCCTTAATTAGATTAATATATATTCAGGCCCACATATGGGCTAAAGTCTTATTATTTTAGATATCACAATGGCAGACATACAGATGCATTGCTCAGATCCCTCTTTAAGAAAGGACTCGATGCTTAGTAGCAAGGAGTCTGGTTTCCTGGCAACCTTCTGTGGTTTTCTTCTTCAAGTCTACTTCAGTCTCAGAGCTGGAACTGCCGTAATGGACAGTTGTTGCTTCAGAGATTTGTAGTGGGCTGACCGAGAGTTGGTTTAATATACATTATGGTTTGCTGTCTCCCCTTACCTCGTCCCCCTTCCTCCCTTCTCTTTTCACAGGTGTTACTCTTCAATCCACTGTTTGCATTCTTAACTCTGTCTCAGCATCTGGTTCCCAGAGGACTAACTGATGGTGGTTCCAGGAATGCACAAAGAAAACAGGTGGCAAGATGAGGTTTTGGGCTTGGATCACTCACAGCCTGGCTGGCAATGAGATCACTGTCCCCGGTGGTATGAGGGGGGCACAGATAGTCTCTGGCATGAGGTGTTGGCCTGATTGCAAAAACCTTCTCTGGTGAATTGAGAGAATGTTCCAGTGCAATGATTTAGGCATTGGAAAAGTACAGGAGAAATAATTAATACAAGAAAAATGAGAATTGGCTGATGGTTACTAAGTTGTATTAATGCCTGTTAGAGGAATAATGAAAAGCTGAAGGCAGTTAAAAATGGAAAACTAACAAAGTCACAAGTCTTATTTGGTAGCTTACAAAGAGGCCTTTATCTTTGGCATTTAGAGAAAAGAAAAAGGCCAGACTCAGGATTAAATACAGTTCTGAGCTTCAAAGACCATTGGTTACAGAGCCGAGGCAGAGATGTTATGCCACGGTGTGGCTTTGGGTAAGAAAACTGAGATTCTAATGCGTGGAACAGGGACAGCTTGCTGGCTGCCTCCCAGATGTTAGCTTCCCCAGACTCCTCTGGACTCTTAGAATTTGCAGAGGTTGCCTTTTCCCCTGTTAAGAGGTAATACAGGTGTGGTGGCTCACCCCTGTAATTCCAGCCCTTTGGGAGGCCGAGATGGGTGGATCACCAGGTCAAGAGATCGAGACCATCCTGGCCAACATGGTCAAACCCCATCTCTACTAAAAATACAAAAATTAGCTGGGTGTGGTGGCATGTGCCTCTAATTCCAGCTACTCGGGAGGCTGAGGTAAGAGAATTGCTTGAACCCAGGAGGCAGAGGTTGCAGTGAACTGAGATGGTGCCACTGAACTCCAGCCTGGTGACACAGTGAGACTCCGTCTCAAAAAGAAAAAAATAAAATAAAAAGAGAGGTAATACATTCCTCTGTTATGTGAGAAGCCATTGTAGGCTAGGTAATGTATATGGAGCCCATCTTCTGCAAGGTAATAGCCCTACTGCATTCCCATCAAGATAAGGCCTCACCTATTCTCTTGGCTGCCAGGCCTATATTAGTGTTAAGTCACAGCATGACCCAGTTTGGGATGTCCTGGGTCTGATAAGGGGAGAAAGGTATTATACTCCAAAAAAGTTACATGACCTAGTCAGCGTGTACCAATATGTACCAACAGCACCCAAGGTACTAGAGTTTGAGGGTTCTTGAACATAAGACTGGGTAAGGATGAGTTTACTGGCTTGGAGGCACTCTTAGAATGAAGGATTTGATGTCTTGGCAAAGACTCCAGGGCACAGGGCAAACTGACTAGTGAGGCTTCAGGAAGCAGGAGAAAAATGAAAATCCATACTGAGTGAAGTGGTAATACCAGAATTGTCATTGTAGATACTGTGGGAGAGAATGGAAGTGTCAGGGAAGCAGGCATGCTGGAATGGCCTATGTGAGGCCAGAAAAATCCACTAGAGGTTTATGTTCCGTGAGAGGGCCAGAAGACACATAACATTTACCAAAGCCACCAGGAAGGCACTGGTTAAAGGCATACCAGCATCATTAAAAATTTCAGTGTTGGCTGTCCTTTGCAGACCAGGTCTGATGATGGTAGGGGCTATCACACAACTTAATTTGTTGATAGCAGTGGGGTTTTGAAGGTACAATATTTCCATTCTAGAAATGGAGTTTGGGCCCCAAACAAGAAATGCATCTGTGATATGTCCAGGTAGCAATGCAAGCTGGGTTATTTGATCCAGCAAACCCTATTAGTATGAGAAAAAAAAGCAGATACCTGAGTTTATGCAGCGAGGCCATAATACCATTTGAAAAACAACTCCTGGCACCTGAATAGTTCCTTGTAAAGACAGAATACTTGGTCATGGGGCACTAAATGACCATGAGTTCAGAATTCCCTATGATGGATAAGGTCTTGGTGAACCATCAACTTAAAAAATCAGGTGTACCCAGCAGCATCCTGTTGTAAGCTGGAAGCGGTACATCTAGGATTTAGAGCAAGCAAGACCAGGGGGCACAAAAAGCCTTCATGAGCAAATAGCCCAGACTCAGCATCGTTGTACTGAGGAAAGCAGCATTTTCTTAGTGTAAACTTATGGTATTTCATGTATTGCATCATCCAGAAGCATGTGGCCTAGTAGAGTGTTGGAACAGTTGCTGAAGTGTTGGAGCAATACTCTGAGGATGTGGTGCTATTCTCCAGGATGCAGTACACACACATTCTTAGGGGCTTCTATATGGTGCTGTGTTACCAAAAGAAAGAATGCGTGGGTTCAGAAACTAAGGGGTGGGAGCAAAATTTGCCCCATTTACCACCATTCCAAGTGACCCATGAGGGGACTTTTTGCTTCTTGTCCCTGCAACTCCAGGCTCTGAAACATTAGAGAAGGAACTCTTGTTTTTAAAAAAGGCATACTTGCCAGGAGAAACACAAGGTCCCATTCAACTGTAAGCTATGGCTAACTGCTGAGACCATTGGACCCTCATATTCAGAGAGAAGTAGGTGAGAATAGCCACTGTCTTGGCAGGGTAACTGAATCTGAATAACAGCAGGTGGGGCTGTTGTTAAACAGTAGGGGCAGGTGATCCACTTGGGTGCCTCTTGGTTCTCCCTTGCCCAATTGTAGTCTATAAACAGACAAGTGCAGCAAACCTGATCTGAGAAAGATACTGTCACATGGGGTCCATGCCACATCTACTCTTAGGAATGAGGGTTTGGGTCACACCAGCAGGTAAGCCACAAAGACCAGCAATATTGGTAGCTGAGGGTGAAGGGAGTTTGGAACGCACAGTGGAGGAGGAAGTAATTATCAGCTGTGGCCTATGTCTGACTGCAGCAACAAGGTTGTGGTTTGTCCCATTAACATCCCTTTTCGTTTCTCCTTGGGTAAAGAGGCCTACAAGAACCCAGGAGGAACTTCCTCTCCAACTTGTTTGGAGAAATGGAACCATGCAACACAAGGGGTGAAGAGTGGCAGATATAGAAATGAGCTAGTTCTATTTCTCTTCAAGAAAGGGCGTACATCCCAACTGGGGGAAATGTGGTTCTCTGAAGTGGCCAGCTCTTGACTATTTCCAGTTCACCTCAGCTTTTGAGCTGAGGTCATGCTCTTCTCAATGTGGCCCCGGGGGTGACAGAGCAAGACTTGCCATTTCTACCCGATGCATGATGCTAGGGCTCCCATGAGGCTGGCAGAGACTTTGACAGATATCATTTTCTGACCCCTCCACTAGACCAATTCCACTTTTGCTCTTTTGTTTTCACATATGTTGTTCCCCAATAACCCATTTTTCACCTCTGTCTCCATACCATCGTCCCAGTGGAGCCAACTTCTATTGATTTGGAATTTAGGAAGACGGATTAAAATGTATTTTTATAATTGATCTATTTCAAAAGGAGGAGGTGTATTAAACAAATTAATCATTAAAAAGGGAATGTTTAATGACAATAAAGGACAATATATTTCTGATACCACTAGACTGCTACATTTGCATATATACTTTTTATCCCTGGGTTACTTATAATTTACATTTTGCATTCACTTATGAGAGCGTTTAACGTTCCAAAAGTAATGAAAGGACTTAAAATATCCTTGAATGAAACAAAATTTTATTTCTCAAAATATGTTATGTAAGTTGATTTTACAATACAAAGATGACATGTCTGTGAAATCCCAGAATTAGATGGAAAATGAAGACTTTGATGACTTCCTCTCTAGTAACTAAATGCATTCCTGCTTCTAGGCTTTTGCTCATATTTTTTCCTTCCTTCTTTCCTTGGCTGCCCACTCAGAAACTCCATGGCAGGAAAATCACTTGAACCCGGGAGGCAGAGGTTGTGGTGAGCTGAGATTGTGCCATTGCACTCCAGCCTGGGCAACAGGAGTGAAACTCCATCTAAAAAAAAGAAAAAAAATACAAAAAACCAAAACAGAAACAGTCTTGTCAAGAAGCTTTCTCTGACTGTTCCGGGGAATTAGATGTTTCACTCCCTCATTTTTAGACAACCCTTTGACCTGCTCCACATATCTGGCATTTGCTTAGAAAATGCTTTATTAGTTGATTAAGATTATCCCTTGTCTGTCCAGGTAAATTTTAACTGCTTTAAGACAGGTCTATGGTTCATTCATATGTTTGCTTGTCAGTTTGTCTCTGATCAGGGTCTGGGAAACAGAAAACACTCAATAGATGTGGTTTACTTTTTCTTGTTTGGAACATCTATTTATTTGCCTATAACATAGGACAAGGAATGAGTTTTATCTTTTAAAGGAAAGACTTTACTCAATTATTGTGTTTCACTGTTCACAGTTCAAGACTTATCTATGTGAGTATGCAGGTAATATACCCTCAGCTGGTTCACTTTACCTCTCTGACCTTATATTTCTCATTCATAAATTTAGGAAACTAGATTTTATAATCAAAATTAGCTAACATTTACTGAATATTTATTATGACCGAGCCATTTGGTTAAATAATTTTATTCAATTCTCATTTTTTTCTAGAAGAGGATGCATTGGTTTAAAGAATTTTAGTTGCAAGAGGACCAAGGAAAAACGGCAGCTAGGAGGCAAGACTAACTTGCAGCTCCCACTTGGATGGACAGAACAACATATGGAGACTCACATCATGAACTTTTGCTCCAAGAACTACCACAGAAACATACCAGGAAAGCCAAGAGAATCCACAGACCCTTTGAGGGAGGTGGATGGCTACTGCGGGCTCCGTGGGACAGCTGAGGAACCGTGAGTCAGCTTGCTTTCTCAGCTTGGAGGTTTGTAGCCTCGGGCATGTTCTCAGCTCTGCTCACAGGCTGCCTGGAAATAAACTTGGTGCTACTGGGTGGGCACGGTGGGAGTGAGACTGGCCTTTCAGGCTGTGGGCTCTGTGGGAGCTAGGTGAGGCCTGTGACTGCTGCCTTTCTCCCACTTCCCTGGTGACCTGTGTGTTGCAGCAGAGGCAGTCATAATCCCCAGAGAACAGAAGTCCATTGGCCTGAAAACCACACTCCCATCCCCCACGATAGCCACAGCAAGCCCTGTCCAAGGAGAGTCTGAGCTCAGACACACCTAACCCTGCCCCACCTGATTAGTCTTTCTCTACCTGCCCTGGTAGCCAAAGACAAGGGACATAATCTCCTGGGAGCTATATGGCCCCACCTACTGCCTGACCCTAGGGCAAGCTTGTATCTCCCTGTACAACCGCAGCTGATATGCTCCTGAAAGCACCACTTCTTGGCTGGAGGCCAACAAACACAAAACCAGCATAACTTAACAAAAATAGAACCACGGACCCTCACAGAGTCCACTTCAGTCCCCTGCTACCTCCACTGGAGCAGGTGCTGGTATTCACAGCTGAGGGACTTGAAGACAGATCATATCACAAGACTCTTTGTAGACATTCCCCAGTACCAGCCTGGAGCCCAGTAGCTCCACTGGGTGGCTAGATCCAGAAGGTAAATAACAATCACTGCAGTTTGGCTCTCAGACAGCCCCATCCCTAGAAGAAAGGGGAGAGCACCACATCAAGGGAACACCTTGTGGGACAAAAGAATCTAAACAGCAGCCCTTGAGTCTCAGGTCTTCATCCTGACACAGTCTAGCCAAATGAGAAGGAAAAAGAAAAATAATTCTGCTAATATGACAAAACAAAGTTCTTTAACACTCCCAAAGGATCATACTAGCTAACCAGCAATGGATACAAACCAAGACAAAAATCTCTGAATTGCCAGAGAAAGACTTCAGAAAGTTGGCTATTAAGCTGATCAAGGAGGCATCAGAGAAATGTGAAGTCCAACCTAAAGAAATAAAAAAAAAAACAAAACTGGATATGAATGGAGAACTTGTCAGTAAAATAGATAGCATAAATAAAAAGCAATCACAACTTCCGGAAATGAAGGACACACTTACAGAATTGCAAAATTCACTGGAAGGTCTTGGCAATAGAGTCAAACAAGTAGAAGAAAGAACTTCAGAGCTTGAAAATGAGGCTTTCGAATTAACCCAATCCCACAAAGACAAAAAAGAAAGAATAATAATAAAAAAAAAGAACAAAGCCTCCAAGAAGTTTGGAATTACGTGAAACAATCAAACCTAAGAATAATTGGTGTTCCTGAGGGGAAGAGAAATCTAAAATTTAGAAAACATATTTGAGGGAATAATCGAGGAAAACTTCCCCAGCCTTGCTAGAGATCTATAAATCTGTGTTAGTCCATTCTCCTGCTGCTATAAAGAACTGCCTGAGACTGGGTAATTTATAAGGAAAAGAAGTTTAATTGGCTCATAGCTCCCTAGGGCTGGGGAGGCCTCAGGGAACTTATGATCATGATAGAAGGGGAAACAAGCACATCCTTCTTCACATGGTGGCAGGAAGGAGAAGTATGAGAGCCAAGTGAAGGGGGAAGACCCTTATAAAACCATCAGATCTCATGAGAACTTACTATCATGAGAATAGCTTGGGGGAAACTGCCCCCATGCTTCAATTACCTTCCACCAGGTCCTTCTCATGACATGTGGGGATTATGGGAACTATAATTCAAAATGAAATATGGGTGAGAACACAGCCAAACCATATCATTTTGCCCCTGGCCCCTCCAAAATCTCATGTGCTCACATTTTAAAACACAATCATGCCTTTCCAATAGTCCCCCAACATCTTAGCTCATTCCAGCATTAACCCAGAAGTCCAAGTTCAAAGTCTCATCTGAGGAAAGGCAAGTTGCTTCCACCTATGAGCCTGTAAAATCAAAAGCAAATTAGTTACTTCTTTGATACAATGGGGACACAGGCATTGGGTAAATATACCCATTTCAAATGGGAGAAAATGGCCAAAACTAAAGGGGCTGCAGGCCCCATGCAAGTCCAAAATTCAATAGGGCAGTCATTAAACCCAAAATGATCTCCTTTGACTCCATACCTCCTATCTAGGTCATGCTGATGCAACAGGTGGGCTCCCATAGCCTTGGGCAGCTCTGTCTCTGTGGCTTTGCAGGATACAGCCCCCTTTTCAGCTGCTTTCACAGGCTAGCCTAGAGTGCCTGTGGTTTTTCCAGATGCATAGTGCAAGCTGTTGGTGGATCTACCATTCTGGGGTCTGGAGAATGGTGGCCCTCTTCTCACAGCTCCACTAGGCAGTGCCCCAGTGGGGACTTTCTGTGGGGTCTCCAACTCTATTTTTCTCTTCCACACTGGCCTAGCAGAGGCTGTCTATGAGGACTCTGCCCCTGCGGCAAACTTCTGCCTGGACATCCAGGTGTTTGCATACACCCTCTGAAATCTAGGTGGAGGTTCCCATACCTAATTCTTGACTTTTGTGTACTGCAGGCTCAACACCATATGGAAGCTGCCAAGGCTTGGGGCTTGTACCCTCTGAAGCAATGGCCTGAGCTGTACTTTGGCCCCTTTTAGCCATGGCTGGAGTGACTGGATAGCAGGGCACCAAGTCCTGAGGCTGCACACAGCACGGGGCCCTGGCCTGGCCCACAAAATTATTTTTCCCTCCGAGGTCTCTGGGCCACATTCCTCCAGACCCTATTATGGTAGGTTCACTGACAGCTTGCACCATGTGGCTGAAAAAGCCACAGGCACTCAACACCTGCTGTGAAGGTCTCTGACATGTCCTGGAGACATTTTCCTCATTACTTACGCAAATTTCTGCAGCAGGCTTGAATTTCTTCCCAGAAAATGTGTTTTTCTTTTCTATTGCATCATCAGGCTGCAAATTTTTCAAACTTTTATGCTCTGCTTCCTCTTGAACACTTTGCTACTTAGAAATTTCCTTGCCAGATACCCTAAATCATCTCTCTCAAAGTTCCACAGATCTCTAGGGCAGGTGCAAAATGCTGCCAGTCTCTTTGCATAGCAAGTCACCTTTACTCCAGTTCCCAAGAAGTTCCTCATCTCTATCTGAGATGACCTCAGCCTGGACTTCATTGTCCATATCACTATAAGCATTTTGGTTAAAGCCATTCAACAAGTCTCTAGGAAGTTCCAAACTTTCCCACACCTGTCTTCTGAACCCTCCAAGTCTCTAGGACATTCCAAACTTTCCCACATTTTCCCATCTTATTCTGAGCACTCCAAACTGTTCCAACTTCTGCTTGTTACTCAGTTCCAAAGTCACTTGCGCATTTTGAGGTATCCTTAAAGCAACACCCCACTCTACTGATATCAATTTACTGTATTAGTCCATTCTCACACTGCTATAAAGAACTGTCTGAGACTGGGTAATTTATAAGGAAAAGAGATTTAATTGACTCACAGTTCTGCAGGGCTGGGGAGGCCTCAGGAAACTTATAACTATGACAGAAGGGGAAGCAAACACATCCTTCTTCACATGGTGGCAGGAAGGAGAAGAATGGGAACTGAACAAAGGAGGAAGACCCTTATAAAACCAACAGATTTCATGAGAACTTACTATCACAAAAATAGCATGGGGGAAACTACCCCATGCTTCAATTACCTCCCACTGGGTCCCTTCCATTACACGTGGGGATTATGGGAACTACAATTCAATATGAGATTTGGGTGTGGACACAGCAAACCATAACAACATCCAAATGCAAGAAGTTCAAAGAACACCCGGGAAATTCATTGCAGAAAGATTATCACCTAGGCTCATAGTCATCAGGTTATCTAAAGTCAAGATGAAGGAAAAAATCTTGAGATATGTGAGGCAAAAGCATCAGGTAACCTATAGAGGAAAACATATCAGGTTAATAGCAAATTTCTCAGCTGAAACCCTACAAGCTAGAAGGGATTGGAGTCCTATTTTTAGCCTCGTTAAACAAAACAATTATCAGCCAAAAAGTTTATATCCAGTGAAACTAAGCTTCATAAAGGAATGAAAGAGACAGTCTTTTTCAGACAAATGCTGAGAGAATTTGCCACTACCAAGCCATCAGTACAGGAATTGCTAAAAGAAGCTCTAAATCTTGAAACAAATTCTTGAACACCAAAATAGAACCTCCTTGAAGCATAAATCTCACAGGACCTATAAAATAGCAGCACACTGAAAAAGAAAATGAAGGTATTCAGACAACAAATAGCATGATGAATAGAGTAGTACATCACATCTCAATACTAATGTTGAATGTAAATGGCCTAAATGCTCCACTTAAAAGATACAGAATGGATCCTAATTCACCAACCAACTTTCTACTGTCTTCAAGAGACTCACCTAACACATAGGACTCACACACACTTAAGGAAAGAGGTGGAAAAATATATTCTATGCAAATAGACACTAAAAGTAAGCAGGAGTAGCTATTTTTATATCAGACAAAACAAACTTTAAAGCAACAGCAGGTAAAAAAGTCAAAGAGGGACATTATATAATGATAAAGGGACTAGTCCAACAGGAAAATATCCACAATTCTAAATATATATGCACCTAACACTGAAGCTCCCAAATGTACTATTAGATCTAAGAAATGAGATAGATGATACCACAATAATAGTAGGGGACTTCAATACTCCACTGACAGCACTGACAAGTCATCAAGACAGAAAGTCAACAAAGAAACAATGGACTTAAACAATACCCTAGAACAAATGGACTTAACAGAAATTTACAGAACATTCTCCCCAACAAATGCAGAATATACATTATATTCATCAGTACATGAAACACTTTCTAAGATAGACCATGTGATAGGCCACAAAACAAGTCTCAGTAAATTTGAGAAAATCAAAATTGTATCAAGTACTCTGTCAGACCATAATGGAATAAAATTGGAAATCAACTTCAAAAGGAACCCTCAAAACCTTGCAAATACATGGAAATTAAATAACCTCCTGAATGATCATTGGGTCGACAATGAAATCAAGATGGAAATTAAAAAGTTATTTGAGCTGAATGACACAACCTATCAAAACCTCCATGATACAGCAAAAATGGTGCTAAAAGGAAAAGTTATACCTTAAATGCCTACATCAAAGAGTCTGAAAGAGCACAAATAGACAATCTAAAGTCACACCTTAAGGAGCTAGAGAAACAAGAACAAACCAAACTCAAACACAGCAGAAGAAAAGAAATAACAAAGATCAGAGCAGAACTAAATGAAATGGAAACAATCAAACAAACAAAAAAATACAAAAGATAAATAAAACAAAACAAAAAGGTGCTTCTTTGAAAAAATAAATAAAATTCATAGACCATTAGTGAGGTTAACCAAGAAAAGAAGATAGAAGATCCAAATAAGCTCAATTAGAAACAAAATGGGAGATGTTACAACCAATACCACAGAAATACAAAAGATCATTCAAGGCTACTATGAAAACCTTTATGGACATAAACTAGAAAACCTAGAGGAGATGGATAAATTCCTGGAAATATACAACCCTTTTAGATTAAACCAGGATGATACAGAAATTCTGAACAGACCAACAACAAGAAGCAAGATTGAAATGGTAATTTAAAAGTTACCAAAAAAAAAAAAGTCCAGGACCACATGAATTCATAGCTGAATACTATCAAATATTCAAAGAAGAATTGGTACCAATTCTATTGACACTATTCCAAAGATAAAGAGAGAATCTTTCTAAATAATTCTATGAAGCCTGTATCACCCTAACACCAAAACCAGGAAAGGACACAACATGAAAAGAAAACTACAGACCAATATCCCTGCTGAACATGGATGCAAAAATCCTCAACGAAATACTAGCAAACTAAATCCAACAGCATATTGAAAGGACAATCCACCATGATCAGGTGGGTTTCATACGAGGGATGCAGGGATGGTTTAACATCCACAAATCAATAAATGTGATACACCACATAAATAGAGTTAAAAATCACATGATCATCTCAATAGAGGCAGAAAAAGCATTTGACAAAATTCAGCATCCCTTTATGATGAAAGCCCTCAACAAAATTGGCATAGAAGGGACATATCTTTAGGTAATAAAAACCATCTATGACAAACCCACAGCCAACATTATACTGAACAGGGAATAGTTGAAAGCATTTTCCCCTGAGAACTAGAACAAGACAAAGATGCCCATTTTCACTACTTCAATACAGTACTGGAAGTCCTAGCCAGAGCAACCAGA